TACTTTCTTACACTACTCTTATAAACTCTTTATTAACCCATGTACGACATCAGATCAGCCACTTAAGATTTCCATTCTTCCAAAATTAGTTATGATGATATCCACTTATATTTCAGTTCAAACTTATTTAATTAGTTAATTAATTAATTTATAAATGAAATCTAATTAGTCTTTTAACTTTATTTGATCCTGGTTTTTAATCCTTTGGCCAAATATTGTTGTTGTGTTGGATAAAAAATTTAGGATTAAATGTTATTAATAGGAAACACCATCATCCTTTAGAGAAATTTTTTGACAAAATTTTGTTTTTTACTTTATTTTTTGCCATAATTGTGAGGAAGATGCAATTTTGCCAACACAAAAAAAACTAGTGTGAAAGTGGAAAAATGTTGAGGTGAGATGCAGTGAGAAAATGTCTAGGTGTTATCATTTTATTTTTATTAAATATGAACTATAGATTATATCTAAGGGTATAATTTTAGGGTATCCCTGACAAGGAACTTAATTGAATCCTCACTTTAGCCGTCACCTAATTAAGTTAAAACATATATGACCATATAGTAATTATTGAAATATTAAAATATTATAAAGGAAATTTCAACAGCATGCTAAAGTTTATTCATGTAGTCTACCCAATTCATAGAAATAGGACGTATAATATATAATATTTTGTCAATAAAAAATAGCTATAAATGCTCACTGTTTTTAGCTTGAAAAGAAAAAATATTTTACTTTGTGGATACAACAAAACTGTATGAATAACAAAACCCTAAATAAATAATATTTATTTAAAACCCTAAAATTATAATATACTGAATACAAACCCTATTCTCCATAGCATTGAACTAATAACGGCATTTGATCTCCCCTACTATGGTGGTATCGAGAACAGAGATAATGGCAGATAGAATAAGTGAGTTTCACGATTCAATTCTTTGTCACATTCTTTCTTTTCTTCCAACCAAACATGCTGCAACCACAAGCATCCTATCTAAGAGATGGAAATCACTATGGCTCTCTGTCCTCACTCTCGACTTCGACTGCGAATCCTTCAAAGCCATGGCCTCCTTTGATTATTCTGTACACAAGTTCATGCTCTTACGAAATATCGGACTTCCGATCCTTTCCTTTCGTTTCAATTGCACCCACTGTTTTTGTGTTTGCAACAAATCTGATGTTACTCTATTTGTTTCCTATCTAACGAATAGAGGAATCGAGAATCTTAACATTAAAAATAATATCATAGTACCACCTAGTATTCTTAGTTGCAAGACCCTTAAGGTTCTTAAGTTGATTGGGGCAATAGTGAATGGTTTTTCTCATCAAGTGGATTTTCCGGTTCTTAAAATTCTTCATTTAAAGGAAATGAGATTCGAACGTCATGAATTACTTGTAAAACTTCTGTCTGGCTGTGCTACACTTGAGGAGTTGCAAACCAAATATTTATGTGTAAGTTATAAGGATTCATTTGTTTCAGAGAAAGAGTTTGACGGCTTGTTACCTAGTTTAATCAAAGCAAAGATTTCTTTTGACAACTCTATTATTCCGGTTAGTTTGGTTCGTAATGTGGAGAATCTATGTATGAAACAGGTATGAATATATCTGTTCCTAGATATATAGTCGGGTTTAAATATATATTTTATGTTTATATAAAGTTATGGTTTTTTAACTTTAGTCCATAGTTTTAAATTGGCATTGTGGACGTGGTCGTAAGAGTTGTGTTTTGAATTTTGTTTGAGAGATCTTTGAAATACATAGTTGAAAAACACTAATTTGTTTTATTTCGTTTGGTCAAATTATAAAAAATATACAATGGAATGGAACTCCACTCCATCACATTTTATGTAGCTCCATTCTATTTTATTAATCCAAATATAGCCTAAATGTTACGATTTTCCGTTACATCAAAAAAGTAAATTGAGTTTTGGGATTGGGTCTTGTGCATTCTAATGGAGTCGGACCCATGATCTTAAATCACAAAGTAATTGTGGTTGCGGAGACTACATCAACCGCAATATTACCGCTGCAATTTTGCTTGCAGGCTGCATTTTAAAACCATGTTTTAGTAATTACATATTAGTCATATAAAAGACAGATAAATAAGAATCCTTGGTTATATACTAATGTATTGTGTTGTGTATTTCATGCAGGTATCATTGACATATTGTACTAAACTTTCCATGTTTCATAATCTTACACCATTGACATATTGTACTAAACTTCCCATGTTTCATAATGTTACACATGTGGAATTTAAAATTTTGGGTAATATGTGGGATTGGTTGCCACAAATGCTTGAACGATGCCACAAACTACAAAGTTTAATCATACAGGTTTTGTTGATGTCTCAACTTTTTTTTCTTCTTTTTGAAGTATAATTTCATGTATTTTAATGATTAAAATAAAAAGTTGCATGATTGTTTTGACAGGGTGTTGAATATCAAGACGAGTTAAAGGATAAAAGTTGGGAGGATCCACCAATAGTTCCAAAATGTCTTTCATCGCAACTAAGAACATGTTGCCTTGCATATTGTAAAGGCACCAAAAATGAGCTCCAATTTGTCAAATACATTTTGCAAAATTCAAAAGTACTAAAGACTATGAAAATTAAGTATGATTATTGTGGAGATATACAAGCAAAACACCAAATGACAACGGAATTATCTTCATTTGGAAAGGGCTCTACAATGTGTGAACCTGCCAAGATCCTAATTGAAACCAAACGCAAATATTGTTTGTACCTTACAGAATTCAACGTGTAGAAGAACAACACATTCTAAAGAACAAACTTATTTGATTGATGATTTTATTATAAAAAGTTTGTTTCATTATGTGTAATGATTTGATTATAACGCATTGTTTTTCTTTTATTATTTTTTATTTTCACTTAAGGGTACTTGTGAATTTGAATTAGTATAAGTGTGTCCATCTTTCAATTATTCCTGTAAATTTGAGCTTCCAATTATGTGAAAGTCAACCGAAAGTATGGCTTTATGCATTATAATTTATGAATTTATAATCAGGCTGGCTTAAATTTTTTATACATAAATTTGAGATAAAAATAACTGTCAGCTAATTAAATATTTGACACAAAAGCCAAAAATGATATTCCTCTTATCAAAGCACCATTGTTTTTAAATTAGCTCAAATTGTTTTTGATATTCCTCTTATCAAAATACATTTCATCTCATTATGTACATTTGGGCATTTTCAAGGAAGGGACCCTCAATGGTCATTGTCTCTAGTCCTTAAGAATGCTACATAATATATTTTACAAATTCGAACTCAGGTTTTGAGCCTCTGTAACCTCTAATGCAACATATTTTGAACTGTGATGAAATGTATTCTGGAACAGTAAGAGAATGATTTCAACAATAGTTACAAATATTCTTTCCATACCTACAATCCTGTCAAAAGCTCACATAATTTTTTATTAAAAAAATACGTTGAACTAGAGTTGAAAAAGAAAACAAATCGGAAACATCAAAACCTGAATGATAAAATGCGGGAGCATTTAAGAGTAAAGGAATGAATTGAAATCTTTGTTTTCTCGCAAGTAAAGAAATTCGTGAAAGCTTGTGAAGTATTTGAAGCATACATGGTTGTAATCGAGAGCTAGAATGGTTTCCATCTCTTTGAGAGGATGCTTCTTGTGGCAGCTTGTTTGGTTTGGAGAAAAGTGAGAATGTAACGCAGAATTGAGTCCGGCAATTCACTGAATCTGTCCAATTTAGGGACTGATACTGTCAAATTCACCATCATATATTCCGGGCTTCAACAAATAGGCTTGACAAACACGTACAACCACCATTTCACTAAACCGGCAATACTGTTGTGCCTGTCTTGCTAATTTGCCCAACCCATACTGAGAATAAGAAGCAAAGAAAGATATCAAGCTAATCTCTTCGTGTTACGTACATAGTAGAAAATTTGATGCCTTCAAACACCATGGTCATTGATTTAACCACCTTGACCTAAATCAGGTTCTTGATATTCCATTACAATCTTATTCTATTTTATGAATAGTTTCTCAAAAAGACAAATGAATGTACTACTAAGAATATTATTCTTCAATAAAAAGCATAATTCCTCAATAGAGATACATATACTCTCAGTGATGCATACAGATAAACTTGTTTACAAACTGAAAAAGAATAATAAACTTCCATCATAGATTAGCAACTGTAATGAACCCAATTAAAAGTATTGCAACGAAAAATCATTGAATTTGTACGTAGCAGCTGTAAATCATTGACATTAGATAGTCAATTAGTAGCCTCTCTGCCCAAATAAAACCTTACTAACCTCACAATTTTGAATGAAAAGTTTTCTTAAAAGGCAACATCACTAATTTTGCTTGTAGTTAAAGATATCAATAATAAATTCTCCATGACTAATGAATTTTAGTTCGAATAAAAAAAAACTATATTTACTGATTAATGAATTTGAACACTCCTCTTGCTGAAAGGCAATACATGGAAGTGATTCAAGAGTTTAGATTCAAAAAGACATAGCATACATCAGCTATGAAAATCCATATAAATAGTTTCAAGCAAGCAAGCCCTTTTGGCCTATTAGTTCATAAAAGATTTTAAAATGACTGACCATTTGATAAAATGCTCAACAACATAGAACCATTCGCACCTGAAACAAAATGAGCCACACAATAAACAAAATATTCAAGCTGAATCAAAGTGAGGCATACAACACACAAAACCATCCATGCATAACCTAAAATTCACAAACACCACCCTTTATCCCTTATTAATTTCCTTCTACCATTCAATAAAAATATATCATCCTTGTTATAGATTTTAACTGTATTCATAGAATGAACAACCAAACTACACCATACAATAAAACAAAAAGTAGAACTTTGATTACATGGATTGGTTTTCCTTACACTAGGAAAAGGAATATGATATCACTCCCAAAAAAAATTTCATGAAAAACCACTAACATTCTTCCAAAAAAATACCACAACATAGTTGTCATCATCATCAATCAAATAAAAGTTTAAATGTTATATAGCTCCTTGTGCATGATGATAACTTCATAAACATTTGGTTCTTTCCTGGATACGTACTCTTGATTGTCAAAGTCTATAGTACTTTTGAATGTTGCATAATATATTTTACAAATTTGAACTCACATTCTATGCATGTGTAACCTTTTGCTTGCTTTAAGTTGTGATGAAAGACATCCTAAAACAATGGTGGGATTGGGTGGAACCTTCAAACATTCAGAACAAATATCCATTGCACCCGGACAATTCCAAAACAGTACCAGAATGTTAAAATGTTGAAGATTGGGAAAGTGTGGGAGTATTCCAGTCAACCACAGACGGCTCCTCTTCCATGTGCTATAATCAAAACTAAGTTCCATGTGAGTCAAATTGTGAAACATGGGAAGGATATATGTTAGAAAACAAAGTTGGAAGGGAGAAACTTTATCAGACATGTTGAGATTTAGATTATTGACTCCTCTTTCCGTCACAAATTTAAAAATTATATTGAATTCTTTTTGCTGGAAGGGAGAAGAGTTGCCTATTTTCAAGGTAAACGATTGGATCAATTAGTTTTTACATGATTGAATAAACAAACTTGCTAAATGTCTCAAAGTCATTGAAGGTTTGTCATAGAAGTTGAGAGTAAACACAGATAGCCACACCGGTTTCCATCTCTTTGAGAGAACACTTGTGGCTGCAGAGAATTTGGTTGGAAGGAAAGAGAGAATGTGACACAGAATTGACTCCGGCAAGTCGCTAACTCTATCTACCGTTGGAATTGAACAATAGACAACGCTTAAAAGAGCTTCCTATACTGGCGCTGCTGTAGATAAAAACAACACTTTTTTAAATGCAAACACGATGCCTTATGTCCCCTTTAGGCAGCGCTTCGTTTGAAAAGCGCTTTCTATTGACACCTTTAGGCAGCACTTTTTCTTGAAAAGCGCTTTCTATTGTCCCCCTTTAGACATCGCTTTTAAAAGTGTTGTCTAATGTATCTTTTTGTTCTCTTTTAGGTCTCTTTTAGGCAGTGCTTTCTTTAAAAGCGCTTTCTATTCTTCACTATAGGAAGCACTTTTGTTTACAAAGCGCTTTCTATTCTCCACTAAGGCAGCGCTTTTTTGTTAAAAGTGTTGTCTATTTTCTCATTTAGGAAGCATTTTTTTGTTAAAAGCGTTGACTATTGTTCACGTATATGACAATGTTTTTTGGTTAAAGCGTTGGAATATGTCTTATTTTTTAATAAATGGCATCATATATTTTTTAAAAACGCTGGCAGAACATGAAAATTCATATATATATATATATATATATATATATATATATATATATATATATATATATATATATATATATATATATATATATATACCCAATTTGTATATTACCAATATATACAACAGATAATTTTTAATATATATTCCAACTTTGTATATTACCAATATATATCAACACTAACTAAAAAATTATGAACTCGTCTTCTGCACATATCAATAAATTTTAGTAACTTGTTATCTCTAATTCTACAACTTTGATCTGAAAAGCACGTCGCATCTCAAGTTCGAGGAGAATATCAGGCCAAGAACGATAGCCTCGTCAAATATCTGAACCTCGTCGAAGCATATTTTCTCGATCCGAAAAGCAGCATTTCCCTCTGGTAACATCTCCTCGACCCAAAAGACACTCTCTTTTTCGAGCAACGTTTCCCCAATAATCCAGCAGACCTTAAGTTATCACTCTCTCGTCTAAGTGTAAAAACAATGGAGGCTCCTGTTCTGGGCCGAGCTGACACTTGGCCCATAGATGGGAAGACCCAATACCAGCGCCTCTATCTATAGTCCAATAGCTTCAAGCCCAAGTCAAATAGTCGTTGGGGATTTCCCCCACATTCCCATTAGAGAACGTGTCCCTAGTCATCATCAACCACCACATGCCCTCAGAAAATAACGGGTTCAATGTCTCTATATTTTCGAGACGCTTTATCAGGGAGGAGACCACGTGCTGGATCCTATTATCAACGTGAACTCCGTTAGTCCTTGTTATTGGGCTATAAATACCCTCTCACATGAGAAGGTCAGGTATCCATCCATCCATTCGTTCATTACACCTCACCTACTTTACTTGCTCTCACTTTGAACCTCATTTTGGCATCGACGTGTCTTACAGATACCTCCCATTCTAAATTCAACCGCTGCTCAACTTGAAACTCTTGGATCTTGATGATCTCTTCTGATCAGGTACGATAAAAAACAAACAAAGTTTACTAAAATTTAAAATAACACAAAAAATGTGTATAAAATATTAAATAATAAATATTTTGTTGGTCCTTGAATCTATCTTCATCTCTTGTTGTGACCATCAACACCATCTCCTCTTCTTCTTCTTCACATTTTGTAAACTTTACATCACTTTCTTGATTCTTTCTCTTTTCTGAACAATCACTCGAATAGTGACCATACTTCTGACAATTGTAACATTTAATGTGACTCTTATCAGGTTTTCGACCACCACCTCTTCCTCTATTTGCAACACCACCTCTGCCTTGATATGGTCTTCCCTGATTCGAAACATTTCCTTCATTCTAGTTTCCTATACCAGTCAATTTGTTGTAGCCGCCTCTACCTCTGCCGAACCACTTTCTGTTGCCTTTGGTTTCTTTTGTTGAATGTGTCTGCAAAGTCAGATCACTCTTCGACTTTCCTGCAGCTCTTTCAGTCATTCTTTGATTATGAGATTCAAGTGTCCCTTGAAGCTCTTCCTTTGTCAATTTCGACAAGTCTTTCCCCTCTTCTATAGCCACCACCACGTGGTCAAACTTAGGAGTCAAAGATCTCAAGATCTTCAAAACAACAACTTTTGTTGTTAATGTTTCTCCACATACCTTGATTTGATTCACTATTTTTGTAACCCTAGTGAAGAAATCGGATATTCTCTTACTATCTTCCATCTGAAACAATTCATACGTTCTCTTGTGAGTTTATAACCTCACTTCTTTCACCTTTTCTGCACCACCAAAAGACTTCTCAAGAACCTCCTAAGTTTCTTTTGCAGATTCTGACTCACTCACTTTTTCAAAATTTTATGGACTCAGACATTGATGAATTATAAAGAGTTCTTTATAACTCAGCTTCTCAGATTTTGTGTGTTTCTTCTTTTCTTCTTCTGAAGCATTTTCTCCAAGCGCTTCCAATCCATCATTTACAAAATCCCAAAGACTTTGACACCTGAATAAAACTTTCATCTGTTTTCACCAATTCTCATAGTTATCTACTTTTAGAATTTGTAGAGTTGCTGGATAATTTGCATTCTCATAACTTGCCATCGTGAATTCTTCTTCTTCCTTAATCGTTCTTGATCAATACTTCCCTTGAATCGATTAACCGAGCTCTTGATATCAGTTGTTGGAAATCCACCAAATATCTATGATGAATTTCTACCAATCTTGATGAGCAAGATTGGTATCACCACACAATGACAATGAATTATGAGAAAATAAAAGAAAAGAAAGAAGACAGTTATTTTCTGCAGAGCTTTTCTCTGCCCACAAACTGTGGAAAACTTTATTAATTACTTGCAACTGCAAATTCTGTGATTACAATGAATTGACTTAATTAGAAAATTAGGGATTACTTCCTCTATTTATAAATTTAAGTTAGCTTGCTCCCTAAGCCAAAACCCAAAATTATAAAAGCCCAAAATACCTATTTTTGTACTAAATCAAATCTATCTATTTTAGATCTAAATGAAATTTATCTAAATCTAAAACCAATCAAATCTGTGTGTAGCTTGCTTTGATTGACAAGCTCTTTGACTGGGTAACCTCCCTTCGATACACACACTATTTCGACACAATCAAATTACAATTTAACACAATCGACATGCATGCAGTGATATACCCAGTATAACACCAAACTCATTTATCAGCAACTTAACTGAATAAATAAGAACTACCTATTCCAAAGTAATTGAGGGGTTGCTTAATAGAAAAGTAATCACCTTCAAATGCAATAAGAACCACCACTTCGAAATTTCATTTTTTTCCAAAAAGGTCCTTTGAACATATATAAGAATTTTATTTTTTGTATGCAGACATGTCATTACTTTTAGGATAATAAAGTTCCACTTATCTGTAGACATACATGTTTTGGTCTTTCTGTTGATGTTGAACTATTAACATCATTTGCCTCTTGGTCCATCTTTGGAGTTGGGCTAAAGAGAACTTAAAGTAGGTGTTTTGAATTTAAATGTAGGATTTTGAAATTCATTTTGTGACTTAGAAATACTTTGGGAAATACTTCTCAGTAGTGGATCAGAGAATCCAAAGTTGTGGCTGACGTAATTTGATACCCATATAATGGAGAGATGTATGTTGTGGTGGCTATTATGAGAAGGTGATGATGATTGAGATATGTTGTGGTCGCGAGTTACCGGTATGAGAAAATAAGACATGGTGGAGGATGGAAGAACTGTGAGTTTCAGTGTTGGTTAGAGTCCTATATCAAAATGTTTTCACAAAATTTAAGACTTTATATACCTGTTTTATACAACACTAATTAAAGCATGGTAATGGGCTTATAAAAAGATCTTTAGAATTAAGCCCAACAACACTAATTTATTTTAACTTATAAATATAATTTCATAAAAAAATATAAAAAACATTGATCATAATAAGTAATAAGAAAATAAAATAAGACGTGGAAATAAAAAATACTGTAAAATATGATGTGGAAATAAAAAATCTTTTGTGCAATGTGGCCGTGAGTAGTGTTTCCGAGGAAATTTGAAAATTGCAAGGGGGTTTTAAAAAAAATCAGTGTTGGTCACGCTTATTAATTGATACTATAATCAAAAGGGAATTTAATCCGCCTAGGAAATTGGTAATATAATAATCGATGATAGGTCTAAAATTATTGAACCACTAGACTAATCTATTAATCATAATTGTAATCGTTTTTTTATTTTTAATTGTCTGGAAACCTAAATCCCCCTTTCGCTTCTTTCTTTGGTAAATATAATTTAGAGTCTTTGTGATACGACTCGAGTGTCGTTTCCATATACTACCTTTATAAGCTTATTTTTACTCGTGTATGACAACAAATCAACCAATATTAAGATTTCCATTATTCTTAAATTAATCATCATAATATCCATTCATATTTCAGCTCATATCTAATTAATTAGTAAATTAATTAATTAATTGGTTTTTAAATTAAATATAATTAGCCTTTTAACTCTATTTGATCACGGTTTTTAATCCTTCAGCAAAATATTGTTGTTGTGTTTGATAAAATTTAGAGGAATAAATGTTATTAATATGGATGTCAATTTGCATCTGTAAACGGGGATTCCTGCGGGGATTATCTGTTCGGAGCACTAAAGTTGGATATTTTTTCTCCTT